GGCTATTTTTAAAAATGAGCCAAAATCTGAAAAAATCCCTGTATACTATAGCCCATTGTTTTTTCCAAAAAATGGCTCCAAAATCACCCCCAATTTTTATTACATTTTCTGATACATATTGATGTCGTTATGCTGTGTAGAAACTTTGAGCCAATTCCAACTTCAATTTTTCAAGTTACGGCCATTTTAAGATTGTTTAATTTTAGTATTACCAGCTGGTAGGTGTACACTATAGTCCATTGGTTGTTCCTCTTCTTCCTCTCTCTCTCTCCTGTTGTAGGATAGTGTACAGGTGGTTCCTATGGATATATCAAGCTAGTTATGCTCTAGGTATCATTGGGTATCTAGTATTATTACTAGTGTTCACTGGACTGGGACTATTACTACCAGTTAATCCTGACGTTATACTGGAGACTGGAGTGACACTGGTGTTCTATGGAGTGTACTATGGTGTAATGGGGCGAGACTGTGCTGAGGTCTGTCTGGACTACATGTCAGCTGCCATGACAGTAAGAAGAGAAAGAGAAAGATTTTTATTTTAAAATCAACTTGTTTTACTGCAAGATGGCATTATTATTGTATCTATCTCAGTATAACCTTGTATACTTTTGTATATTCTAGTATACTACAGGAGGTCAGTCGTTACCTAAAATAGAACTAGCGTCTAACATGTGTGCCGTCTGTGGCCAGAGGATTGTCCTACCGACTGAGGACGAGAGTAATTCTGGTAAAATAGAATGGACCTATAGATTAGGGTGTGGTCATTTGTATCCTCCATTTTTTGGGTGTGGTTTTGTTGGTTTCCTTGACGACAGGTTTGGTTGCTAGGTTTCACGAGTTTTGTATTCGTGGCTGGTGTATCATTGGTAAGAAGCAGACCTGCCCATACTGTCAGGAGAAAGTTGACCTCAAGAAGATATTTAAGAATCCGTATCCTATAATTAATTATTAATTAATTAATAGCAAGGCATTTTAATAGTTCATTATACATAGTATAGCAGAAATTTATTTTAGATTTCTTTTAAATTGAATTTCAATTACTTAGTAAATTGAAGCATCTTTATGTACGATTAAATAATTTGATATCAATCTATTTGCTACCAAAATTATAAACTTTGCAGTTCATATTTTCACTGTTATTGAATTCCTGAGCTTTAATAATTATTATTGATATTTCTTGTTTTCAGCTGGGAGAAACCACACATTCTGTTTGGTCAAATGTTGGACTTTCTACGTTACTGTGTAGTGTGGCTACCAGTGATACTGGCACTTGTGCAATTCATTTATTACGTGTTCCACCTGGAGTGATATTTGAAGAAATAGTTAATTTAATATTGAACTAATTATTATTATTATTATCTATTCTTTATAATTATTATTATAATCTATTCTTTTTGAAATTGATATTATTTTAGCTCTTATTAAAAATTAATTATAATGATCTGGTTAAAAGCTGGGAACATATTTTTAGAAGAAACTATTATAATTTTGACTGAGTTTTGATGTGTAAAAAATGATAATTTTATTGGAATTTAAGCCACGCCCCTAATTTGTTTACACCCACGCCTTCTCACCTTTTGATGGGCGGGGCTTACCCAGTAATTAATGGCTGAGAAGGTACAAGGTAGAAAAAGAAGCAAAGAGTCTTTTAAAAGAGAAAGATCTTACAGCTACAGCAATGACAGCCAGAGGTAAGCCAACACGACCCGCCTCTGCTAATATAATTATTAATACAGCCCTGACTCGGGTGCTGGCGTCCCTGATATAGAAATCACTCAAGTTGAGGACAAATCTCATAAATTAGGTGAGATATTTAAGCTATGATTTTATGTGGCTTTATTTACACGTACTTCATTAGTAGCATATGTACACTATTATCTATTTAATATGCATTAACATGTAACTGTCGTGATGTTGTTATTTTTTGTATATTTTTTAGGTTCTCCTCGTCGGTCTGTCCCTGTTCTTTCTGTCATTCCGTCTCCTTCAAGAGCACCTGAAGCTCCTCCCAGAGGAGGAGCTAAAGAGAAAAAGAAAAATCAGACAAGAGTTAGATCTGCTTCACCAAAAGTATGCTCTTTTTATTGTTCGAAAAACTTGGAATTTTGTATATTTTCTGTATTATTATGTACATTTATATACACATTGTGTCTCTTCCTTTAAATGATGTAATAATTTCCTTTATCTTTCCTCCATTATATTTTCTTCCTACTCTCTCTCTCTCTCTCTCTCTCTCTCTCTCTCTTTCTCTCCCTCTCTCTCTCTCAGCGTTATGGCTATAGTCTTGACCGAAAGAAAGCTGCCTATTCCCAAAGACTCCTCCAATCTTACTCCTCCGGTCTTGATACTCCAAACCTTATAAGAGATAGTGACGATACTTGTAACAATTCACTGACAGATGGCAGGGAAGAAACCCTCACTAAAGTGCATATTAATCTCTCGCAGTATAAACTGGGACTACCTCACGTTCCTTGTTCACTAGAGGCACTTGGTATCATACCAACAAGGTAGACCACGCCCTTTTTATTAAAGACTTTTACGTTATTATAATGTTGTGTTATGTGGTGTTTTTTGTTAGGTATCATTCGTCTGGTAAAGGTAGTTTTTTAAGTTTGACTCGTCGCTCGTTGAAAGGTGCTTCATCAAAGAAGCCGGTGCCTGTGATTA